GTAAATCCAGGTGGGCCTGCCCTAATTACAAAAATCCTTTCAATTTAGTCCAGAGATCAGCGATAAGTCAGAGATAGCGTGAGAGGGTTTGGATACAGGGAGGTCCTCCACAGCCGGCTCTGAAGATGGAGGATGCCACGTGGCAAGGAATGTGGGAAATGGCTGACTGCCAGCAAGGAGTCATGGACTCGCAGTACTACCACCACAAACTGAATTCTGCTAACAATCCAAATGAGCCTGAATGCAAATTTTCCCCAAAAGCCTTCAGACAACAACTCAGTCCAGCCAACACTTTGATTTCAGCTTTGTGAGACAATGTTGTGCCAGGACTTCTGACCTACAGAACTATGAATTAATAAATGAGTGTTATTTAAGCCACTAAGTTTGTGCTCATTTGTAATGTCAGCAATAGAAAACTAATACAGTACAATGTATGTATGTCATTCTCTCCTCCTGGAAGATTTGTGGGAGGGTGGGGACAAGCTATAAAAATCCTTTGAAATTTCTTAAGTATACTGCTGGGGGCATAACAAAAATACAGTATAATAAATTCTCACCAAACTGAACTGAAACAAAACAGAAAGGCTGAGCAAAGAGCATCATCTCNAAAGAAACAAAATCACTGAGATTATTAAAGCAGGGAAATTTTGGTGCTGAAAGATCTACAAAATCTCCTCTAACACACAAAATACAATCATTTATAGAAAAACACTTACTTCCCCACTGATGAAACCTTGGGCAATCTGAGTTAATCTCACATGTGCACAGTTCTGAACCAAGAATACCTTCCCCATCCAAACCCACACCACCTCGAAATCAACCTCATGTCCTGCCTCCCTACCTCTCCTTCTTTGACTACCATTACCAGCACAAGTCCTCATCTTCCTGTATCCTGCCACAACAGGGGACCAACACAAGACAATACCTATAATCAGCTTTGGCTCGAGGTTAGAAGTTACTATGAGCATAGCTTCCTAATTGTTTCATATGTGCGATAGGTAGAATTCTAAAATGGCCCCCTAAAATTCCCTGCCTCTGGTGTAGACATGTTCTCCCAATTATTTAAGCAAGCACTAATCCAGGTATGGTTTATGAAGGGGTCTTGCATATGTAATTAAGGTCTCAGATCAGCTAGCCTTAAATAAATGTGTTCTCAAACAAAGGTAAATCCAGGTGGGCCTGCCCTAATTACAAAAATCCTTTCAATTTAGTCCAGAGATCAGC